AACTATCGCCATGATCTCGATATTTCGGCGGTAGAGGATACATCATCTGACCATAATCCAGTAACCATTCTGCTTGGAGATTACTCTCCGGGAGCCCAGACATACCAAAGAAAAAAGACCATTTGGCCCTGCTACCACAACATCTTGAAGGACCATTCCTTCCCAGAGGAATCCCCCAGATCCAGTCAGATTAACAACTACCATCAGCTCTGCCATTTCATCCGCAACAATCACAAAGGAGGAAGAATACTCATCCCCCAACTCCCTCCCTAGTCGTCTACAGGAGCTCCTTGCCAGAAAAAGATCTGCTAAAAAACGTTGCCAGCGCATATTGGAGGTTTAACATGCTGACTTTCCAGTTGAAAACAGAATTACAAGAATTCCGAAATCAAAAGTGGACCGAAAAACTGTCTGCAAAGCATCCCCTAAATTTTGGAAGCTAACCAAAAATATGCGGGCACAAAGAATCAATGCGGTTCGCCCTCTATATGGTCTTAATGGGCTGCTTTTCACAGTAGAAGATAAAGCAGATGTATTCTCAGAGCATATCCAATAGTCCTTTACTCCGAGCGAGGGTCTAGATTATTACGAACGTGAAGACAGGTTAATTCGCTGCTCCATCAGGCTCCTAAATGAATCGAAGTTCGAGCTGACAGTGCGCCCCACAAATAAGGAGGAGATTTCTTCCATCATCTCCGCACTAGAAACAAAGAAAATGCAATCACCAGCCTTACTTCCATCATCAATGGCATCCTAGCTATGCAACACTTTCCTGAGGTATGGAAATCCGCCTCAGTATTCATGATATCAAAGCCGAACCAAACTACAGGCCAATCTCTTTGCTCTTCTCATTGGCAAAGGTGGCGGAGAGAGTAATAAAAATCCGTTTAGAAGAGGAACTGGCTGACGACGCACTACCGCACGAGCAGTTTGGCATTGTCTACCGAATTACAGCTGACTAGAGTCTCTAATCACGTCCTAAACTCCTTCGACGCAAAGAAGAAAACCGGAATGGTTTTACTGGATATTTCAAAGGCGTTCGACAAGGTTTGGCACGCTGGCATCCTCTCCAAAATGATTAGCTTAGGCCTCTCCTCCATTATGGTTAAGATCGCAAGCTCCTACCTAACCAAACGGGAATCTTGGTAACGGTTGGTAATGCCAGGTCGGCCCAGGCTCCTATAAGAGCTGGCGTACCTCAAGGCTCAGTTCTAGGCCCGACTTTTTTTAACATCTAGTCATCCAAAAGCCTCCGGGTCTGAAGCTAGCCATGTACGCTGACGATACAGCCTTGATGATCTCAAGCAGTGGAGTAATAGAGATCCAGAAACTTGTGCAAAATGGACTGGACATCATGGAGGAATGGGCCGACCGCTGGAGGATTAGGATCAATCCCAGCAAAACTTATGCTATCATCATTGCAAGAGGGCCAAATATCACCCTACCACCGGATATCACGTTTGAAGACCAACCGATCCACTGGAGAGCGGAAGTAACCTATCTGGGAGCTACACTCGACAAACGCCTAACGTGGAAACACATAATATTCAACACTATCATGAAGGCAAATCGAGCTCTTGCGCAGCTGCGACCATTAATCCACCCCGGAAGTGAACTATCTCTACTAAACCAAAAACTGGCATGAACTTCGGTGCTCCCCAGGATTTTTCTCTCTGCTTGCACACGTGGTGCAATGCGGCCGCCTCTTTCCTGGCAATGATCGAGAAATTCCATAACAAAATCATGAGATTTTTAACAGGCGCCCCATACTATGTCAGGACTTGAAATTCATACCAATGAAAGCTCAAATTAGCCGACTTACGTCTAATACGGTAGAAAGAATGCGAAATATCCCAAATCCACTAGTCAACAACGTAGTCAACTACAATCCGGAAATCAGGCGCCTCCACCGTGGCATACTAGGAGAAATCGAATCAGGGATCAGAGATAAACTATGTCTTTTTGCCTAACTTATTACTCTCTGAGAGAAACTTGCTAAGAAAACAAAAATACTTAATATTTAATAATATAATTTAATATTTTTGACTAAATTCCTAATGTAAAAAATTGTGACGTACTGCTGGTAGAAATTAATAGCAAAATTAAAAAACGCAACCATAATTGAAATAATTTATTCCTTAAGTAAAACACAAATGTCTGAAAGCATTTTTTTTAAATCCAAACCCTACTAAATTCTCCCAACAGTGCGACAAAAAGTTCCATGAAGAACCATGTACATGATTTCAGAAAAGACGAGCAGGCACATAGCATAAAAAAATTCTATTATTAACAAACTACTAACCAAAAAGAAAATTACTAACCACCGTTTCTAGTTACAAATCTGGTAATGGATCTTAGATTAATTAATAGGAATTTTGTTCAGGAATGTGTTCCATCAGATATTTTGTATATTCTCTCTCTACTATGTTCTCTATGTGCAAAATAGGGCTATAAACTAATCTATTCAATACTTTTTATTCTATTTTATACGTTTTATACCGATTTTTCTACTTATTTTGTGTTTTATCTGTATATATAAAAAATATACTATACTACTTTTTTATGTTTATGTTTATTTTCTGTACGTCCAAATACTGTCACTAAACTAGAATTTTAAGATATATTCAGGGAATAACCTTATGCAGACGCTGTTGGGTGACTGACTTCTATAGTCTTTCACTCTCAGCCCCTACCTGCTAGATAAAGTTAACGGCCGCTGGTTCAATTTAACTTTTAACTTAAATTCATTCAATTTGGCTTTGCTTTTAACATTATTGCACTCATAATAATTATTATCCCCTTGTTTTTATTATTAATATACATTTTGACCTAATATTACATCCACTATTTTATTAAGCTTTTGCATACCACTCTTAAATATTTAACTTCAGGAGTAATAAGGGCATAAGGTCCCATGTGACCGACCCTGCTTCGGGTCATTTTTCCAGTAATATAGGCTACACACGAAAAAAAAAAATTAAAATTATTTCGTTTTTAATTCGTTATCAAGTGGGCTAAATAGATCTATTATAATACAGTCATGTTTATGACCAGAAAACAGCTGAATGAGTTGGTTACGTTAATCTTACAACGATTGCTTGACGAAAAACTGCAAGATTGAGGAAAAAAAGTTTAAATATAACAAAATGGCCTTCCTGAAAAAATAGATGAACTTCAAAAACCATCAAGCAGTGGCGGCTGGTGGATTTTATGTATATCAATATCTCAGTTATTGGACATGCGACCACACCAAATTTATAATTATAATAATGGTGGATTTTGGGTATACCAATATTTCAGTTATTGGACATGAGACTCACACCAAATTTATTTTATTAAAATAAAAAAATATTTAAAATGGTATAAAATCTGTAATATTTGGATTTTTTAAATAAAATTTTAAATTTTTCGATAAATTATAGTAGATAATAAATTGCACCACGTTAATTTGAATTATCTCAAATAGGGGGCCTGGAGGCGGGTGAGGCAACAGGAAAGACTAACTTTTTTCGCAAACTTCAATTTAAATGTGTGGGTCCCATGTCTAATAACTGAAATATTGGTATACCCAAAATCCACCAGCCGCCACTGCCATCAAGGCATTTAAAGTGGTGTATAAACGAAGATGGTTCGCGTGTAATAGTACAGAAGCCCGTTTCTTGGAATAATGGCTTAGTGAAGAAATTTTAATAATCGTTTAACTCGTGTTTAGTCTCATTGATTATTTATTGTATCGACAACCTAGTGATAGTTTATTTATGTATATAATAATAGTATATTTTAATATTTTGACGTGTGTTACTTTAAAGTATGCTTAACCTATATATATGTATCTAATCAAGGGCGTCGCCAGAGAGGGGCAGGGGGGGCAGCTGCCCCCCCCTAGAGGTTAACGCTCACAAGTCACCCTGCTAATTGAAACGATAAACTGAGTGTTGTGGAAATCCTTAAGGAAACTGAAGATTTTTTCCTGAAATTAAGAAGGCTTTAAAGATCCTTGTTGCTTTACCTTGTACGACTGGTACAGTTGAAAGGTCATTCAGTAGCCTCAGGAGAATCAAAACCTGGTTGAGGAGCACCATGTTTGAAACTCGACTCAATGGCCTCGCAATGATAAGTGAACACAGGCAACACATTTTCAAAAACTTGGACGATTTCGTCAACAAAGTGTGTAGTTATTTTGTTCGTTTTTTATTTTTTTTATGAAAACTTTTTTTTTTTAATTTTTCTCTTGTTCTTATATGCTGCCCCCCCCTAGCTTACCGGCTGGCGACGCCCTTGTATCTAATATCTATTTATGTACCTCTTGTAGAAACCCTGAAGATGCCGTAAGGCGAAACCGGTCGTGGAGTTTATAGTTTTCATTTATTTTACTTAACAGATGCTAAAACGGGATTAAAACAAAATTCAAACAAACCAAAAATGTCAGATGTCAAAATTACTTACACGCATGCTTAATTTGCTACTAATTTTGCTGCATAAATACCCTCCTATTAATGTTAAATTAATCTTAATCCTAATGTTAATGTTAAAGTTAATCTTAATGTTAATTTGTGCTGCATAAATCCACCATTAAATAGTTTAAAGGATATTAATCATAACCTACAAACTATGATAGTAAAAGAAGTTAGATGCATTCGTAATTGTTGACAAATCTGTTATAACATCGTGACGTCACGATCTCACCTCAAGGTCAACGATGCGTTTAGAATCTTGTAGCGTTCTTAAAAATTGTTTGAGAAACGTGGGAAAAATTTAATAACAAACTATTAGGCGTGGATTCTAAATAAGCAATACAAAAAATTGCATGTGCCTTCTATTAAGTAAATCCATAAAATTTAGATTTAATATTTTGTATTTGTTGCAAATTGAAAGAAATGGGTTACGTCAACGACAAAGTTTCTGGTTTACATAATAAAAACGCATATAAAAATGGAACTCATAATATTTATATTTATACACAACCTTGGGTAATCGTAATGTTTATTTTTTAATTATAGACTGGATTTAGCGGTCACGTAATTATTATATCTGTATTGTACTATGGTGGAGTACTGGTGGCTTCCGATGCCTTGACAATAGGTCAATTATCTTCCTTCTTGTTGTATGCAGCTTACATTGGTATTTCGATGGGCGGTCTTTCCAGTTTTTATTCCGAATTGAATAAATCTCTTGGTTCAGCAACAAGAATATGGGAAATTCTTGACAGGGAACCGTGTATTCCGATTCAAGGTATAAAAATCTAATATTTAGTGTTGCTTTTTAAAATAATAAAAAATATTTTAGGTGGTATTATTCCTGCAGTACCCCCAGAAGGACACATTTTATTTAAGGACGTCGTCTTTAGTTATCCATCTCGAGAAGACGTTACAATATTTAAATCTCTTAATTTGGAAATTTCACCAGGTCAAACTGTGGCCGTGGTTGGACAAAGTGGCTCAGGAAAAAGTACACTTGGAGCTTTATTATTGAGATTATATGACCCATCCAATGGATCTGTTATTATTGACGATAGTGACGTAAAAAAACTTGACCCCTGCTGGATCAGGAAGTTTATAGGAACAGTTAGTCAGGTAAAAAATACATATTAAATTAATATTACTATATAAACTATATTATTTTGTGTATTACAGGAACCAATCCTGTTTTCTTGCTCAATTAGAGACAATATTTTATATGGTGCTGATGATCCATCTAAAGTATCTGAAGAAGATTTTATAAAGGTTTGCAAAGAAGCAAACGTGTTTGATTTTGCTTCAGAATTGCCAAACGGTTTTAATACTCTTGTTGGGGAACGTGGTGTTATGTTGAGTGGTGGACAAAAACAAAGAGTAGCAATTGCCAGAGCCCTAATTAAAAATCCAAAAATATTATTACTAGATGAAGCAACAAGGTAAAATTATATTTATATAATGGATATTATTTTAATTTAAAATAACTTTTTAGTGCTTTAGATGCTAAATCAGAACATTTGGTTCAAGAAGCATTGGAGAGAATTATGCAAGGTCGTACAGTTTTAACAATTGCTCATCGGTTATCGACGATACAAAATGCCGATCTAATAGCAGTTTTAAAAGATGGTGAAATTGTTGAAAAGGGTTCTTATCAAGAATTACTTAATGTGGAAAATGGCGTATTTAAGGATTTAATAAAACATCAAACCTTTCAAAGTGGCCAGGAACCTCATGCCAAATAGTGATAAATATAGTTTTATATTATGATTTTGGTACAAATGTGTTAATTTTATTTTTACTTAATTATAAAATTTTCAAAAGGGATATTTTATTATGGTAATTATATTTTAATATAGTTTGTTGATGTAATTTACGTTTTATTTCAAATTTAAATTAATTTTTCAAATACTTAATTAAAATATAAAATGTATTTAACATATTATGTATAAGTCATAAAAATTTGGTTTAATGGTTAATTAAAAACTAATAGTTAGGGAGCTGGTGGCAGAAATTTTTAAGTCATTTGCTCGGGTGACAGAACTTGAAAATAATGAAGTTTGGATTATAAAAGTCACTAATGACAATTTCTGACATACCATTATTGCTGCATTATTAATTAGTAGGTAATTAGATAAGTAAAAAAAAATGTCCTTAAGTCATTTGCTCGCGTCTGGCATTTTTTTTAACTTGAAGTCCCTATCAAGACTTTCAGATAAATATCATCGCCAGACGTGTATGTCTCTGCATTAATGAGTATTTAATTTTTTTTTAAATATGATATAAAAATTTAAGTGATTTGGTCGTCAATAAAATTTATTCTAAAAGTTAATTAGGTCATAAAAAAGCAAAAAGTAAAAGTCTGCCATTTAATGTTTACTTCGATAATAAACGAAAAATTTTCAAAATTGTAAAAAATTGAATATTAAGTTATTTGCTCGTTTCGGGCTCTGCTTAAATTATTCTGTTGTATGTCAGAACTGTGAATATAACTGCCAGACATGAGTATCGCTGATTTTTTATAGCCAGAACGCTTTTAGGTTAAGGTAGGTATTTTGGGAAAAGGCCATTACAAGCGGTTTTTTTACTTATAACGTTAAAATTCATGAAATCATGTGATCTTTCGATTCCCCAAGTTTGGTGACCCAGAGTTACAACTTCCATATGGGATCAGAGGTCAAAAATATTTTTTAAATTGTTTATTTACTTTTTTACCTATTATGGGCAATTAAATACATACATTTTTTTAAATATAACCTTGAAATGAGGTCATGGGGTCATATGATCTTTTAACCCCCCAAGTTTGGTGACCCCGTACAAACATGTTGTTTTTATGAGTATGAGTATGGGAACGTATGGCAGGCCCCAGATATATTATCATCCACTGATCTCCCGGGGTTATTTTACCCCCTTTCCATTCTCCTGCGTATCCCGCCAAATCACAGCATTACCTGTGTTTGTTGGATCCGAAGTTTTTACGCCGGCTGGTAGATCCACCCTAGGAGTTCGTGGATGACAGTGTCAAAGGTTAAGGCCGCTTCCGGATTTTTGTCAGCCGGGTCGGGCCATACGTCCAGTTTAGGAAGGGTTTTTGGAGGACATTGAACTGACCCAAAACTAAGTACAATCTGGAATCCTCCTCAACCTAGGCCTTAGTAGTAACCCCATTCAATTGATATTCGTGAATGGGGGTGGGTATGTTAGCGACCGACTTTTTTTTCGATGAGGTCTAAATTTAAGGTGGCTTGTAATATGTGGTTTCGGCGTCTACGCTTGGCATGTGCCCAGTATTTTAGTTGTGCCACCCTGACACGTTTGGTGATTGTTTTTCCTTCTAGGAAGACTCTGGGCGATTGGTTCTGTACGTCCGCTAGGTCAGTCGTAAACAAGGTGAGTATTTTGCGTTCGAATTTTCGGAGGTTTTGTCGGTTTGCTTTGGTCAGTGCGCATGTGTTCAGTGCATATATCACCGTGGGGGAGATCACGGTTGAGTATATCAGCTTCCGGAGCTTCCACGGAAGATTATAGTTTTTTATAAACGTGTTTACCGAACGCGCTGAGCGCGTGGCTGCTTTTATTCTTTGTTTTGTTGTTTCAGGACGGTTTAAGGTGCTGGTAATAGTGGCACCGAGGTATTTAAGGCTGTTTTCGAGCTGGAATGTAAACGAGACTATTTTCTTGGGCCCGGTGTTGTGTAGTCTAGTCGGGAATTTGGGGTAACGGATTAGTATTTTGTTTTTTTGTTCGTTTAGTTTTAGACCGTTTGCGTTCATATGTTTGGTAAGAACCTCGGTGAATCTTACGATTTCTGTTAGGTTGTTCGCGATGAGGAGTAGGTCGTCCGCAAAAGCGAGCACGGTGGGCAGTTCGAAGTCAGTCAAGTCATTGTCTAGTTGCAGTCGTGGTATTTCAGCTGTCGTCTGATTAAGGATGCGGTGGAGCGCTAGTGTGAATAGTCGCGGTGATAAGGGGCAACCTTGTTTTACTCCTTATGTTTTCCGGTATAGTTTTGTGGTCTGACCGAACCATTCTACGCACGTGTATTCTTTCAAGCAGGCCGATTCAATTCGTTCTATCAGCCATTGAGGGGTGTTCACTGCGTTTAAGGCTTCTATGATTGCTGTGTGTTTAATTTTGTCGAAAGCTTTTTCTAGGTTACAACATATATCTTTTTCCCTCTGCGCCATGTTTCTTCCATTATTCGTCTGGCGCTGAATATGTGGTCGTGCGTGGACCTGTTCGCTATAAATCCTGCCTGATAGTACGGGATGGGTTCCACTAGTTCGTCCAAGGCTTTTAATATGTACCGAGCATATATTTTGTAGCCTACACTACATAGTGTAATTTTCCTGTAGTCCGATGTGTTTTTCGCGTTGCGAATCTTTGGGATGGGAATTTGTTTAGTGTATAGCCAATCCCGAGGTACTTCGTTTTTTTTTCCAAATATGTGCCAGTAGGTTTGTTAGTAAGTCAATTAATTCTTCCTCTCCTTAAGTAGCTCGTTTTGTAAAAGGTCCGGGGCGGAGTTTGCGCGTAGATTTTGCACCGTCTGTGTGGTAAAGCTTCGCTCTGGGGGGCTGGTTAGGGGTGTGTGGTCTGACGCTGGGCTATTAAGTATGTGAGGAGCGTTGACGTCTAATTCCCCTTGCCCGAGTTCCTTTTTCCAGGTAGCGAGGGGGATATATGTAGTATGCGCTTGGTTACGTGTCCGTCTGAATTGTTTGATAAATTTGTATGTTTGTGAGATTCTTTTAGCGGGCTCGTAGTCGTTTAAGTTGTTAAAAAAATTGTAGCATTTGGCAAGTTTGTTTTCGCGTAGTGCAATGTTTTTTTCTGCTATCGCGTTGCGTTTTGTTTGGGCCGTTTGTGTGGTCGGGTTTCGTCTGTGTTGTTCCGACGCCTTTTTTGACTTGTCTAATAATTTTTTGATGTTACTGGGGAGCGGTTCTGACGGTTTATTAAGAGTGAGGTTTGCCGCTAACTGTAGACTTTCTGTAATGATTGTCCATGTCTCTGATACGTTATTAAGGTCGGGATTGTGTGTTAGTAGTATCTCTTTTGCCGCGTTTTTGTAGTTAAGATTGTCAATAGGGGCTTTTAAACGCTCAGTATACCATTTTTTCGGTTTTATTGTGGGGAACTGATAGTCTTTATCGTTTATGGCTGGCGTCTGTATCAGGTTGCAATAAAGTAATTTATGATCTGTCTTTATGTCGAGTGGCCAGGTAGCTTTGCAGGGTTTGTAAAGAAACCCGATAGTGCTGTTTTGAAGCATGTGGTCAATTTGCGATTTGGTTGATTTATTTCGCCATGTTGTTAGTATTGACTTGTGTTTTGAAAAGATGTTGTGAATATTTAGCTTAAACAGCTGAGCCAGGTTAATAAGCTCTTGCCCATTTTCATTGGTTTCGCTGTGTACTAATTGCCTGGCAAATGAGTAAGTTTATCTTTGTCTGTGTGTAATGTTTTCCCTAGATGTGCGTTAAAGTCCCCTATAACTATCATTGCCCCTTTTTTGTTGTTTATGTCTATTTGTTTTGTTAACTCGCTGTATGTCTTCATGTTACGTTTGTCCGACGGAATGTGTGTGGATATTACGCAAAGTCTCTTTTTATTACAGGCTAGGACTATTGTAGCAATGCTGTCTGAGATGGGGTAGAATTTTGTCGTTTGGAGGGCCTTAGATCGTCTTAGGAGTATCGCTACTCCCCGTCGAGTCGAATTGTTTTGTCCTCCGCTTAAGTACCAATCGTTCGTGTTTGTTTTTGCGCGGCCGGTTGTCATGAATGTTTCTTGTACTGCTATTATGTCTAGGTTTAGTTGGGATAGTGTGTCGTCAATTATTTCTCTCTTTTCTGCTTGCCTACAGCCCCTTACGTTTAGTGTCCCTATTTTTATCTTGTGTTGTTGTGTACTACTGTCTAAACTTGTCGCCCCGTTTCCGGTCGATTGTGTTTGCGTGTATTCCCCGTTGCCGCAGGCTCTTATATTGGTTATGTTTCCTACCTCTGTTAGGCAGGGCACCGAGGCTTGTGTCCATGTTGGCCAGATATGTATTATACTATCGTAGTGATTGTAAGTTCCAGTCCTGCCTAGTCTGTAACAAATTGCGATTGACCGGTTGCTATTGTTATGTCTGAAGGATATCTTGTCAGTACGCCCCTGTTCGTGATGTATTTCGATTGCGACGTTAAATATGTCCGATGCTGCTATTATTGTCTCCAAACCCAACCAGAAGCTGTTTTGTGCGTCGTCCTTTAGGTACGCCTCTGTTTTACGTTCCCAGTCGTTAATATGCGCGTAGCGGTGGGGTTGGTCAAGGATCGCATCCTGTAAGTATGGGCTGTATGTCTCAATGTGTGTTCGTAAGTGGTTATTTAGTCTTAATGCGTATGTACTTCCTATTGTTGACCCAGTCAGGCTATTATCTAGTTGATGAGCCAAGCTGGCCACTAAGCAATTTCCGTCGGATGGAATTTTAATTATTCCCACCGAATGATCAATCGTGTTTACTATTTCCATGTTTGTTGTGGTTTGTGTTTATTTATTATTTATGGTTTGACGTTTATTTATGGTATTAGTCGAGTGTTTATTTGGGGATGGAGCTAATGTCTTGTCTGCCTTTTCTGTTTTGTTTATGTAATGACTTGTGTGTTGTCTGTCTCAATATGAATGTTTATTTTCTGGTGCCAGCTGGGGAGCTTGGAATTTACTTTTCGATGTATAATACGTTTTACTTTAGATTTTTTGGAATAAAATGGTTTTGTTAATAAGACATGCAATTAGAAAAATTACTTAGCTTGATTATTAGGCTATAATCCTGATGCTATGCCTTTCACGGTCTGTCCGTTGTTTCTTGACCTCGCCTGCAGGTTTTTGGCAGGCTTTGGTTGTGACAATCCCTGCTGACCAGGTGGGCCGGTTGGCCTTAATTACTTATTTAGTTGCACTCTTTTACGGCTTTAACAGGGGATCTCCCGCACTTTTCACACTTGTTGCACTTTTTTGCATTTATCGCACTTTTCGCACTTGTTTGTTTATTTATTTATAACCGATTACCGATATTTCCGAATTTAGGTTCGTTTTTGGAACTTTATTACGTTTGTCTCGTATACGCTGCTAGGAGAGGAATCTTTAACTACTTGACGTGTCTATCCACTTCGAGTGTCGAGACCCAACTGTACAAACATGTTGTTTTTATATTATGTTAATTGTTTATGCATTTCTTACTTAAACATTTTTTTGCAAGAAATTGAATTAACACCACCTACCCATCGATTAAAAAAAAATTAAAATTGATAAAAAAATTAACAATAAAGCCAATCATTAACAAAAAAGGTAATAAAGTGCGTAAGTTTTCAAATTTTAAGACAACATTGAAGAAGATATAAGAATGATAAATCCGGATTTGCACCCTTTTCCGTTGCCCAAATTATTGTTAAATAAGTAAAAATTATTAATACATAAAAGAAAATATGCAAACTTAAGAAAAATGTATGCAAACTTTATAGAGTATTTTATTTTTATTAACATAATACAAAATAATAATTAACAATTGAAGACTACAGGGAAAAAACGTGCCAATTCAATTTGGATATTTAGTATCTATAAAGCCAATTTAACATCAAACCTAAATGGCAGACACGAGGAAAATGACTTAGGCTATGTATTATATAATGTAAAAAATATTTTTTACAATTTTAAATTTATTATTATAAGCAGATATTAATTTTTTCTTATTTATGGGAACAAATGAACAATTGAAAAAATAAGATAAAGTCAAGGCAAATCACTTAATAGAGCATTTGTTTTTTACATATTTAAAATAATAAAAAAAACGCGGCATCCTAGACTTCTGGCAAATGTTATTTTAGTATCAATATGGTCAATTCAATATAAAACCTGAATGCCAGACACGAGCAAATGAGTTAGGTTGGTTTTTATTTTTACAATTTTGAAAATCATTTAAAAAAAAGCAGCGATACCTGAGCCTGCCACCTTATTTACTCAGTTCACAAGCCTAAAAACTCTATAACATATCATTCCCAACGACGAGCAAATCATATACCGAAATTGCCACCAGCTCCCTATAATAATAACTATAATCAAATACATATTTTTATAAAAATAATTGTTAAATATATATAAACAAAATATTCTCATTTAATGTTTTTTTTTCATATACTGTTGCTTTAATTCTCGTCTTAAAATTTTTTCTGAAGCATTTTTAGGTATACTTTCAACCACACTTATACCTCCAACTAATTGTTTGTATGGGGCCAGTTTTTTCTTTAAAACTTCATTTATTTTTTCAGTATCCAATTTTGGACCAGGTTTTGGAACAATATAAGCTCTTGGCACTTCTCCATGACTCACATGTGTTATACCTATAACTGCCGCATCAAGTACGTTTGGAATATCCCTGATCAATTCCTCCAATTCTGCTGGCGCTACTTGGAAACCTTTTACTTTAATTAACTCTTTAATTCGGTCTTTAACAAAAAAATATCCATTTTCATAAGTCATCAGATCTTCAGTTCTTAACCATCCGTCAAGGAAAGCCTCTTCGTTTTCTTTTGGACGATTGTGGTAACCTTTCATCACTTGCGGACCTTTTACTAATAATTCTCCGCACTCACCAGGGGCCACATTTTTATGGGGATTCGTAACATCAACAATTTTTACTTCTGTATTAACCGCTGGTTTTCCTACTGAGCCAACCACGTTTTTATCTTTTTTAAATTCTTTCCTGGTACACATGACTAGTGGAGACGTTTCAGTCAAACCAAAACCTAAAAGTAATATTAATTAAAAGTTTTCAACAACCTAATATATGAAAGTGTCATGGTTATATTTCCTTATAACTTTTGTTACCTTGCATTACTAAAATCTCTCTTTGAGCTTTTTTTAATAACTTTGCTTCATCTAAGGCTCCTAATGGAGCAGCCCCACTCATTATATTTATTATTGATTCCAAATCATATTTGGTAATTTGTTGATGGTTAGCCAAAAACATTGCTAAAATAATTAAACATTTTTTTCTTAAAACTACATATTATTAAGACATTCTATTCAAACCTAAAGACGGAGCTAAGTATAATACATGTGGTTTGTAGTTTTTTAAAACAGAAGTATACAAATCTGGCGTAAATCTAGGCAATGTTATTAGCCTGGTTCCCAATATCATTCCATGCACTGAACACACTGTAAAGCATTGAAACATTGAAAGTACAATTGGGACTACATCTTGATGATCAGCTATAATTTAAATAATGTTTTATTAAATTTTATAAGTAGGTAGCTAATTCCTTATAAAAATACTAATTATATTATGAATTGTTGAATTGTTAATAAAACTGAGTATTGCCAAATTAGTCCAGTCAAACCGTCGTCTGACCTTACGTGCTGAGGCACTGTCTGTTTTTTTTTCATGAATTGATAGTGGCTTATTTGAAAATCATAAAACCAAATTTGCAACACCTGATAATTTTTTTCAACAAAGATATACCCAAAAATAATTTTTTTTCAGTTTTAAGTGAATATCTTGAATATACGGCACAATAAAAAGTAAAAAATTAAATTATTTTTCATAAAATTTCCTATAGTTTTTGTCTTAAGTGTTTTTGTTAATACAAATAAGAAAGAAAATATAGTTTGTTAAATTAAAAAAATTTTTGTTTTTTTTTTCACTTTTTTGCAAATATTTCGAAAACTATGAATTGTATGGTATATTATTAAGATAAACATTTTGTAGCACTATTAATTTTCTAAAATATAAATAGAATTTAGTGCGAATTTAGTACGACTAACGAGAGGCGACCAATCCACGAGCTTTTGAACATTTTCCCGCCTTTGCAAACCAGAAATATTTTAAACCGGCTTTTTACTGTACTGGAGTACGAAAATGTCGACCAGTGATGATGGGACCGTACCTCCTAAGATTGTTACAAATTTTTAGCTTTACTCTTTACCCAGATATGCCTGAATCTGATGTTCGAAAATAATGATGTTCTGCCGGTGATTGTGTAAGTGGCAAATTAGCGAGATTGGATTTAATTTTTACCATTCGTGTACGAGAACAGTTTTAGCCGGAAATGATCTAGCGTTGTTTTAATGCTTTTTTGTGAAAATCCAATCCGATCTCGCTAATTTACCACCTACAGAATCGTCGGCTGATCACCATTCTTATTCATCCGGTCCAGGCATGGTTGGCGAATGTTTTAGATGCAGAATAGGGGGCTGTAAGCCAATGATGACCTCTGAGTCAGGAGAAACGAAACCATCATCACTTGTGGACATCATTTCATGCTGGTGTGCGAATCAATGCGGCGCAACATGCAGCTGTCGAAAGGCCGGGTTAAAATGTTTCGCAGTTTGAAAATTTTCTTGCAAGAAAATATGTTTAAACTTTAGATAGATTGCCATTGATTATGACAAAGAGATATGTTTGATATACCAACAATGGATCCTCTAACAAGATACAGCGAATCTGAAAAAAATTACAGTCAAACGATCATAAACATAGAAAAAATAAATATATTTTGACAGGGATTAGACCTACAGGAAATACCGCAATAAAAAACGAGCCTGAGACTCTTCCTCTAAAGTAGTGAGAAAAAGCGTTCTCGAGGGTGTACGAGCGTGACCATCTTCACTCGAGGATTGATCGGCTCTTGTTGGTCGCATCGAGCTCTATTTTTTTTTTAAATTGTAGAATATTAAAAAAAGTACAAAATATTGATCATAATAATTTATCATAAAATATACCGTTTGCGAAATATTTGCAAAAAAGTAAAAAAAAAACAAAAGATAAAAACAAATTTTTCATTTTAACTAACTATATTTTTTACTCTCTTGTTTAAACAAAAAATACTTCAAACAAAAACTGTTGTAAATTTTATAAAAAATAATTTTGCCATTTTACTTTTTATTGTGCAATTTACGAGGGCCGGTATATACGCTAAAAACTTAAAAATGTATGTTTGCGTATCTAAGAAAAAATGGCCAGGTAATGCAAATTTGGTTTTAAGCTTTTTAAATAAGCCCCTATCGGATCATGAAAAAAAAAACAGACAGTGCTTCAGCACGCAAGGTCAGGCCATTTTCACACCACGGTTTGACTGGTCTAAATTTATGTAATAAATATTTAAAAAAAGAACAAGAAAACATTAATATTTCTGAAGTAAATATATTTTTTTATTTATCTTATTTCTATTTATGTGTATTTAATAAAATAAGGTAAATTCTTTGTCATGTTACACTATTACCTCTTTGTCATGTTATACTATTACACCATTATCGTACAAGCTATGGCTTTATGGCGCATTAGTCACGGGCTAAAGTTAGAAACAGGTTTTTAGTCACGGGCTTAAGCTTCTTGTAAAATAATACTAACTGTGAAAATTATTGTAAAGGGTTTTTCAATTGGGACATAACAATTTTGTTTTATAATACGGAACATAACCCATACACTTTTAATGATCTGTCAATGTTAAAACGTCAGTCAAAGTTTGTTGTGTCTTGTTGGGAAGCGCGCGAAGCGTGCTTCCCTATAGCACAAGCAGCGGATCGCAAAAAAGTGACAAGGAGGGCAGCTAGGACAACTTTAAAGGTATGTATCGACTCGTAATCGAATTTTATTTTTTTTTATTTTTTCTGTTGTCCATTAGTCTGTGTATCCTTTTTTTGTAACCGCCGTAACTCGAAATCTGCATCCTTTTCTGCCCACGAGACCTATACGTGGACCAAATATTTCCGGTGTCGAAAAAGCCCAAGTCCACTTTTTTCCGATTTTAACGTCAAATTTGGCACGTTCCGTTGAAATCGCTTAACTTTCGAACGAATGGAGATTTTTCTACCAAACTCGGAAAAAAACGTGCTTCGGGACGATAATTCGTTTCGGATTGTAAACGGGCCGGATCCGCCGAAAACTTTTCGAGTTACGATTTTTAAAAATTTTTTTCGAAAATTTTGCAAACGATTTGTAGGGCGAGAGAAATTTTCGAAATTGGCCGAACGAAATACACGAATCGACGAGTAAAAGACTAAAGTTTGACATACTAAAAGATGAGCTTTATCGAACAAAAACTAATCGGCCGAAAGTCCGTTCAAATTTTATTCGATATTTAAAAAAGTTAACCTATTAAAATCCCCGAAATCAAATCGATAACAGGGGGATCCAACAAAATATTAAGTAACAATGCGGCATTGCCAAATTTAATTGCGGTGTTGCCAGATTTTGCATAAATTTCGCAAACGAAAAAAGATAATTAATGAAATTCGTTTATCGGGTGAAATTAAAGTCGATTTAATTTTTTTCGCAAATCGCATACCGGGGAACCCAACAAAGTATCCGGCAACACTTTGACAGGTGTCAAGTGAACAGGTGACAGTTGACAGATGGCAGGTGAAAGATGTCAAGTTAACAAATGGTAGGTGGCAGATGACAGGTGACAGATGACAAATGGCAGGTGACAGATGAATGGTGACAGATGGACAATTGGCAGGTTACAGATGACAAATGACAGGTGACAGATAACAGATCACAGATGGCAGGTCACACATGACAGATGTCAGGTGACATGAAAGATAGCAGATGCAAGTGACAGATGACAGGTGACAGATGACATGTGACAGATAAAAGGTGACAGATGACAGAAAAAAGTGACAGGGGCCAGATGACAGGTGGAAGATGAAAAATGGCAGATGACATGTGACAGATAAAAGGTGACATATGTCAAGTTGACAGATGATTAGTGGCAGATGACAAATGACAGATGACAGGTGAAAGTTGGCAGATGAAAGGTGCCAGATGACAGGTGACTGATGTCAAGTTGACAGATGACAAATGACAGGTGACAGATGATAGGTGACGGATGACAGATGCCAGGTGACAGATGACAGATGACAGTCGACAGGTGACAGATGACAGTCGACAGATGACAGGTGACAGATGAAATGTGACAGATAAAAGGTGACAGATGACAGATAAAAGTGACAGGTGCCAGATGACAGGTGGAAGATGAGAAATGGCAGATGACATGTGACAGATAAAAGGTGACAGATGACAGATAAAAGTGACAGGTGCCAGATGACAGGTAGAAGATGTCAAGTTGACAGATGAAAAATAGCTGATGACAAATGACGTGACAGATGAAAATTGACAGATGACACAACAGAGGTGACAGATGACAGGCGACAGATGACAGGTGACAGACGAACAGTGAAAGATAATAAATGGCAGATGACAGATGACATGTGACAGATGACAGGTGGCAAATGACAGGTGACAAATGACAGATGACAGATGACAAATGACAGGTGACAAATGACAGGTGAGATGACAGTTGATAGATGACAGGTGACAGGTGACAAATAACAATTGACAGATGACATGTAAGAAATTAAAATTTTTCTTTAAAATTACTACCCAGTTTCATTATAATAAGCATGTTTTAATGTGTGCTTTGATTAATATTAAGGAATTTTATTTTATAAAATAATATGTAATACCAAGTGACCACTTGTTTTTTAGTAAATCGAGGTCACTGAACACGTTTTTGACAAAATTTTTGACCTGAAGGGCCTTGAGATAATTTTGGTTTCCAGATATCCGAGTGACCAGTCGTTTTATAGTAAATCGACGTCAGTGCTACGTTGCCATGTTTTGTAAAAATTCCCAGAAAAAAAGAAAAATTAAAATTGACAAAACAAGCGAGATTTAAATAATTTTAGGGGGATCCAAGTCGCTACGCGACCGAAAGTTCAACTAGCCACGTTGCCAGGTTGGACCGGATTTCTTAAATTCTTTTTAATTTTTCAAACATGCCACGTTGCCAGGTGGACCGGTCGCGGCGCAATTCCCACCCGCAGCGAGCACCAAGCTCAGCGGATCGCAAAAAATTGACAAGGAGGACAGCTAGGGCAACTTCAAAGGTATGTATCGACTCGTAATCGAATTTTAATTTTTTTATTTTTTTCCGTTGTCTGTGAGTCTGTCTGTGTATCGGTTTTCTT